TCTGGAGCGTAAGTCACCTCATCACCTTTTTAACACAGGTCATCTGTCATTAATAAACTAGGATAAATAACTAAATATTGAATAACTATAAATATATATATATATAGAGAGAGAGAGAGAGAGAGAGATTTTCAGTAAATGTCAGTAAATGTCAATCAAAACATTTTGTTTGTAACAAACATTACATCAATTGTCTTTATAACTCATATTATATTATATTATATTATATTATATTATACAGAGTGTTGTCCTTTGTGGATAATCAATTTCTTTGTGACAAATAATGTATCACTGATGTAGCAGCTCCCTATACCCACAGTCTTATTGGTGTGCAGTGCAATAAATGAGATTTGCCTTTTTCTCTGGCAGCTGGGTAGGCTATCAGTTTCCCGGTTACCGTGGATATCAGTACATCTATGAGAGAGACAGACACCAAGGAGAGTACAGATGCTACAATGAGTACGGCACCCAGGCACATACCAATCAGATCCAGTCTATGCGCAGAATTCAGCAATAAGACCCAACACCATTGTGTACCCACCATGTCATGCCGTGTCAATACTATAGGCAATAAAGACATTATTTAAACTATAGTAAAAGATTGTTTGTGGAAATTCCTTGCTTTTTGTAATTAAAACTAATTTGCTCAATTAATGGATCAGCTAAAAGGCGATTATTGATGTAAAACAGGAAGATTCAATGTTTGTTTTAAAGCTATATGTAATTAGAACAGGCCTGCCACATTTCTAGGTATATGTAATCATGCAGAAATTTTAGTAAGGTTTTTTTCTAGAATAGTCAGACTAGACTGATGGAGGAATAAGCCACTTCATTATATTTAACAATTGGGATGTTTTATGCTAGCTGAACAACACCAAGTCTTGCTTAATGATGTCCTAAACCACCTATATGATGGATATGAGACTGATATTTCCAATAAACAAGAGCATGAGTAACTTTATGTTAATGCCTCATTATTTGTTCTTTGTGGACCTGCTTTTGAGGATTTCAGCTACATTCACATATAAATTAATATAAAATGAATACTATTTTTCTTTATATATAAAAAAGTATATATATATATAAATATTTATGTATAAAATGAAAAAATATTTATTTACTTTACATATTTATGTATTTAATGTACTTGGGTTAATGTATGACAAATGAATTATGTGGGGGTGGGAGTCTCACCCATTTGGGTTCGTTTGGAGCTGTCCGAGGTCCTGACCTTTGTGGATTAAAATACATGTCGTACATTCAGTGTTAGAAGCAGCCGAGATCTAATGCAGTGGACGAATCTTTTAAACTATGCGCTAAAGGAAGTGCGGGTTCTTGTTCGTCCAATCAAACGGTTTGTAAACCTGGGATCCGGGTGTGATTCCGCCTCTTATTTGTTTGTGGTGTAACCGTTCAGGACGCTAGCAGTATTTGACTGCACACACCCACTCACAGGATCAGATGTGGACAGAGCAGTTGCTGTTTGAAAACCCGCTCCCACACCCAGTCCAGGATCTCCTAATAAATGTTCAACCGTACACACCTTTATCAAATACACATTTCACTACGAGCTGATTAAAAGTGTAGCACTCGTTCTAAGTTCAATGATTTTAAGACAGACAAGATGCTGAAAGCAGCTGGATCTGAGACAAGCTGCAGTCTGACATAACAGGACGGGGTAAGTCAACTTATTAAGGGAGCAAATCAGGACATAGACCGGCATATGGTCACAACACTCTAAAAAATGCTGGGTTGTTTCAACCCAACGTTGGGTCAAATATGGACTAACCCAACTTTTGGGTTAAAACTTTAATTAAAAAATGTAACCCAACAGCTGGGTTAGTCCATATTTGACCCAATGTTGGGTTGAAACAACCCAGCATTTTTTAGAGTGAAATCAAACCTTTTAAACTACACAGTAAAACGTTTGAATAAATTACCTAAATATGCTACTTTTTTAATTTATAACATAAGTTGATTAGTTATATTCAAGTAAAATATTTAAATAAAAATCGTATTTATTAGAGCTAAATCAACCTGACTAAAAGGTTAGGCTACATCAACAATAGAAGGGGGGGACAGGGGAGTACTGTAACACAATTTGTTAAATCTCTAACACAATGTTGTTTGTGCTATGTATCTTAAACTTTGATATAACTACTTTTCCAGTGTTTGCCTGCTTCACATTAACGTTATTTAGAAATCTTCTACCGATCCCTGAACTGAAATTAATAACAAATATAAAGGGTGCTGCAGTTACAATTTACCCCCTACTGAGGAAATTTGTACGGCTAATAAAACATGGATATTTAGGTAATGTATCAATTGGTTTTCAGCAAATTATCAATTGGTAATTGAATTTACTATTAAATTAATTATTATCCCCATCTGATTTTGAACATTTCATTTGATAATTTTAGCTCAAACGTTTGAATTCAAAACGCAATTAAAATTCTGTTAAATAAACAAGAGAACCTGTGGATTCAGGTAATATCTCCTTAAATGATCCATTCATTTTTACAGTGTGTAAACATGCATGTCATTACAGCTATCACCTGATATTAAAAACACAATGAAAATATCTTTTATACCAGATTTCTCAACTATTCTCTTTACATTTGTATTTTCTAGTTTCTTTTTTCTTGATTCCCTAATTATTGCATTTAGGAGTGTTCATCGTGCACATGAAGTAGCTGTCTACGTCGCGTGGACAAACTGAAGCCTTGCCCTGCATCCGGGGCTTGTTTTAAGTTGCCTGCGATCTATTTAATGACTCAGGCAGCTAAAGCAAGTCTGGGACGCCAGAGACAGCACGACAGAGCGCGTCAGAACGATGCACAGAAAGAACTTCAAGATGATTAAAATTATTAGGCTACATGTGATATTAATGTTTGTTCATGTCGATAATGATGCTGCTCTGACAGTTAAAGCTGCTGCAATCAATTATTGTGCAATATATACAGGTTAAATATACACAATTGGCAGACTGCAGTGTAATCACAGAACTTGACCGGTTTCATTGTCATGAGACTTCTTTACCCCTTATGACCAAATATTTACCCTTATTGTCATTTTAAACAATAAATACACACCCCTGTACAGATAGACAGCATTAGCATGTTTTCTTGGCACAAGAAAAAATATAATAAAACATTTACCTCCCTTCTCGTTTTTTTCTGTTACTCCATTAATTCACGAGTGTCATATGGGATTATTGTCAAATGTGAACCCAATCTATTTTATTGTTGTTGTTTTTTTAAATAATTAAACACACAATCTGTACATCAGAATCGAAATCTATCTCTGTTAGGCTATTTGTTAAGATTTGGTTTTTGTAAAAAACGTACATGAAAAATATTTGAAATGCAAGGACTTGTAGACCTATAATAAAAATGTGTCACATGATAAAAGATCATCCATTTAGAAAGGCAGAATATTACACTAATTTAGAAAGGTCATATTAAAATGAAAATAATAATAATAACCAGTACATATAGGCCTATGCATTATGTAACAGTCCAACAGAAGTGATAAGCAGGGCAGAGGGTCTACAATACCATCGATTGCGTATTAAAGCAGCATAAGTTTGGGATAAAATGTTCTTGTTTAGCATTATGCACTTAGGCATAGTTAAAAGGTAAATATTCTCAACCAACACGGAACAGGCCTTTCTGTTTACAAAGAGGTAAAAAGGCGGAAAGAAAATGGATCTGAACCGGTTTCCATGTCAAACACTTCAATTCTCCATAGAAACTCTGATCTTAACGCAGAAACTTTATTAAACCTTGATGGTGGATTGATAAAGCCGAATTTCTATCGGTTCCTTTTTATTGTGGAGACGGGGAGGGATGACAGAGGTAAATTGCTCTTTTAATTAAACCATTGCACCGAAGGAAATTGCTGTCTGAATATTGTCTCAGAGATGGGGCTTGTGACAGTTGCCTGGAAACTTCAATCTGTCTCACATTTATTCCAGATCACAATTTTGAGATAAAGTTTAATAAAAATCTTTGCGCCAATGAAAGCCTACCCTTTCACGTCCTCCACCACCACCACAATGCGACAGAACTGCGGAGGAAGCCTTATGTTTAACATGTATCTCTCAGGTACACAGTCTTTTTGTGCGTAAAATGAGAAATATTGCTGAAATGACTGAAAAGAAAAGGGCGATGTTAGGGTTCTGCGGGTGCAGTGCTGCGCACCATCGCCGGTGTCTCTGACTTCTCCATCTGGAACGCATGTCCTCTTTTGTCGGAAATCGGATATCCTTTTTCCTGGACGCGTTTCCTGACCTCCGCGCTGAAGTCTGGGCAAATACATCGAGCAGCAACACGACAATACTCATAATATTGAACCTCTTTTGCTGCGATTGGTTTTTTATAGATGGGTGACATTACGTGTTTTCTCTAAAAGTACAAATTACAAATATACAGACGGGGGAAATATGTTTAATGCATCTGTTGCGTTTTACTAATGTTACTCCAATATTTTCCGAAGGCATTTAGAATGTGAATCATAGCTCAATTCTAAATGACAGGCGTATTTTTAAACGCTTTCTTTCAGACCCCACAGAAAATCTTCTGAAGGAAAGCAAAAGCCCTTCTTGGACCCCCATCAACACAGGCGTGCAAAAAGGTGAGTTTTGCGATGAATTGTTGACAGGCGAATGTTATTATTTTTGTGCAAAAAGTGTTTTTGCAGGATTTTTAAAATATGCTATTGTGTGCATTATTTAAAATAGTTAGACATAACCTCTTTTGCTGCGATTGGTTTTTTATAGATGGGTGACATTACGTGTTTTCTCTAAAAGTACAAATTACAAATATACAGACGGGGGAAATATGTTTAATGCATCTGTTGCGTTTTACTAATGTTACTCCAATATTTTCAGAAGGCATTTAGAATGTGAATCATAGCTCAATTCTAAATGACAGGCGTATTTTTAAACGCTTTCTTTCAGACCCCACAGAAAATCTTCTGAAGGAAAGCAAAAGCCCTTCTTGGACCCCCATCAACACAGGCGTGCAAAAAGGTGAGTTTTGCGATGAATTGTTGACAGGCGAATGTTATTATTTTTGTGCAAAAAGTGTTTTTGCAGGATTTTTAAAATATGCTATTGTGTGCATTATTTAAAATAGTTAGACAGCTTATTTATGATTTTATTTCATTTTATATTCATGATAAGGCATAAAAATAAATCATTAAATAAACTCAATTATATGCTACACTAACAAAAAGCTGCACTTTTGGTATATTTAAATATTTATTTTTAGTTCTTTAGAAAATCATCTCTTAAAAGTTCCAAAAGAGGGTTTTCACCTGTGATGCCATAGAACATTTTGTGTTCCCAAAAGAACCTTTCCGTGAATATTTATTTAGTGTGAAAAAATTTTTAAGAACCTTTTTACACTGCAAAAAAAGAAAAGAAAACCTTCTTCATGGAACCATGGATATCAATAAAGAACTTTTAGTTTTTAGATTGGTGCAGAACCAAGAAGCCACTATACACCAAATAACCTACAATGAAAAAAATGTTCATTGTAAGTTTTTCATCTCCAAAGAACCATATAACCATCTCAAGGACCCAAGAACTCAGTAAAACTGTTTTTGTAAAAAGAGTGATTTTGATAAGTAACCTTTTAAGAGTGTCCGTTATTTACTTTCACTCTTCACATAGAATACTGATTACAAAAGGTCTGTCTGTTTTCCCTACATATATGTAAGCCTACGTTCCTTGCATTTTAGGAAGTGGACAAATCCAGCTATGGCAATTTCTTCTGGAGCTGCTGTCTGACAGCGCCAATATGACCTGCATCGCCTGGGAGGGGACCAATGGAGAATTTAAACTGATAGACCCGGACGAGGTGGCCAGACGCTGGGGGGAACGCAAGAGTAAACCGAACATGAACTATGACAAACTGAGCCGAGCTCTGCGCTATTACTACGACAAAAACATCATGACCAAGGTGCACGGAAAGCGCTACGCATACAAATTTGACTTTAACGGCCTGGCGCAAGTGTGCCAGCCCTCCTCAACCGAACAAGCTATTTACAAATTCCAGAGCAACTTCACTCCCATCCAATTTTCAGGCATTTCCAAACTCAGTCTGGTTGCTCCAGGTGCTGGCCCGTCGGGGTTCTCATACTGGCCCGGATCTCCCCCGACCCTCTATCACAGCCACAACCTGCAACCGCCAGGACCCTTCGGTGCCGTGTCTGCGTCACATTTAAGTTGCGTTAACAATATCAACAGTTTAAATAACCTAAATAATATCAATAATCACTATAACTGATTTTTTTTTAAATTTGCCTCAGGAGTGCGCGCTGATAGACTACACAAGGCTAATATTCAAAAGCGCAACTGATTATTGCAGGTTATTCTAATCACACCCCAGAGAGAGAGAGAGAGAGAGAGAGAGACTCGATTGAAAGGACTATTTGGTGGATTATTAATGTTGATCACTTTAAAATAAGAAAGCCTTTTAGCGTTATCTTATGGAAAACAAATACTATCACTTTGTCACTGATTAATTAATCATTAAAGGGGTCATGAACTGCGTTTTTTTCATTTTATAATGTTCTCTGAGGTTCACTTATAATGTTAGTGTGAAAAAAACATAATTTAGAAGTAATAGACTATTTTCTATCCTGTTTTTGAGCCTCTCTGCAGAACGGTCTGGAACAGACAATGCAAATAGTGGTTAAAGCACGTTTACTCGCACTTGTGCTGCGACATTACTGTTGGATCCACTCTAGTCAGACTCAGTGCTGCATCATCGTTTACTTTCCGTCTCTCTGAAAAGCCTGCATCATACTGTCTTGTTTAAAAATGAATCCAAAGTAAAGCAAACAATCAAACAATGTTTCACTGATGTGATCTGGAGCTCTTTGCTAATTTTACCCCGTGTTTACACCGGACGCGAGCGGTGCAACAGAACCCATTATAATCAGCGATTCTGTTTACACTGGATGCGGCACAGATTGACTACAACCCCGACAGTAAACTGATGTCCCGCTCTATTTCTGACATGCAAGCATTCGCGCCGCTTCTGACCTGAAATTGATTCACGACATCACGCAACAGCGCTCGGGTCAGATCTAGATATGTTAGGCAATTCAAAGACTATTTTTCACAACTTACACTACACATGTCTTGTAGGCTAATCTTGTAATGTCATCTGCATGGTTCTGTTGATAAAGTAATCCTGTGTTTCTCTATTTCCTCTCCTCCTACTACAAGCGCGTATCAGTGGGCGGAGTTAAAACAGCAGTGGCGTAGAAGTAGGCGTTGACCTCCTGCGGAGGCGGTGCCTTGTCACACTATTACGTCATAAAGTGGCACATTCCAAAACGAGTCCTTTTCTGAGCTTACGGTTTTAATAAAAGCTCTTTAAAGAGAACGTTTTGAAACTTACATGTTTTTTAGTAGGCTACATTGACCTGTTATATGTCAAAAGATCAAGGGAAGTTTGATTTCAGTTCATGACCCCTTAAAATTCAGCTGGACAACATAAAGTGCATTTTGATATTTTATTATAACTTCAATATTGACTCGTGGATGGTGTAGGTCTGAATTTTGGGCATAGGGCTACATTTTAAGAAGAGTTTTAGAATTCATATTTTTCCACATGGTCCACTTAAACACGCAAGGACTGATCGGTCCATGTATCATTCTATCATTCAATTATTCCATTCACAAAAATGAAAAACGGTCAATATTTAGTTTTTCCGTTTTTCTGTATAAACCAAAAATTGAAAGTTGACATTCTGTGGAGGAATACACTCGAGAAATGGGAAATATTTCATTCGTGCATGTGGGCGTTGCTGAACTTTCATTTGATTGGTCAAACAACCACATCTTCTTTATTGCATGAATTCATAAAGAGTTGGTACAGTAGGCCTATTGTTTTTGCACTGAAATAAAATATTGTCCCACACCACCTCTCACTGTTAACTGTGCATGCAATTTTAAGATGAAATATGTTGCTGGGCACATATTTATATGCTGATGTGACATATACATGATACAGTGACAAACAGAATTGGTATGTTCGGCACGTTATGCTGAGTTCACACTGCATGATTTTAGCCCGATCTTTCACTCGCTGCCGGGTTTTGCGAAATCACCGACAAATTCCCGAAATCGGAGGCAAATCGGTGCTCGTTCACGCGAGTGACAATCAGGCAGTGTGAATTATCAAAGACGCAATCTGAGGGAATCGCCGACACATCGATTCACAATCAAGCTGTGTGCAATGAGTTCTGACTGAAAAACACATTGGCGATGATCTACAGCCAATGAGAGAGCACGATACAGGGCAGCGGGAAGTTCGGGGAGGAGTTATATGAAACGTAGTTTGCGGAAGTAATTGGGCGGGTTTTGTAGCGAAAACCTGGCAACCCTGCACCAGACAGAGCTGTCAGCGATTCTTCCTATTGTAAAGTCATGCAGTGTGTAACCTCCTGTCGTCGTTCCATCGTGCAGTGTGAACACAGCAACAACTGAATGCTACCCCAGATAGTCGTTTGGTGTGAAACCAACAGTGATGCGACGTCTTTGAAAATCGTGCAGTGTGAACTCGGCATTAGGCTACTGATGTGCAAAGAAACCGTCTGCGCGCGCTCGGTGCACTAAACGCAATACCAGTTATCAAAAGTCATCCTGCGAGTGTTTTATAATGCAGTGGTTCTCAAACCTGTCCTGGAGTTCCCCCTTGCCCTGCACATTTTGTATGTCTCCCTCATCTATCACACCTGATTCAACTCATCAGCTCATTAGTGGAGACTGCAAGACCTGAAGTGGCTGTGTCAGATATAGGGAGACATACAAAATGTGCAGTGCTGGGGGTAGCCTACTTCATGGAGAGGTTTGAGAACCACTGTTATAATGGATGCTGACCAAAGAAGTGATTTAGCCTACAGTAAAGCTCGTGGTTTAGCGTTTCTGAAAGGATTAGAGCCCTGCATTTCTGCATTTGTCCCGACTTCTTTATGCCCCTCGGGCCGGACTTCAGGCCAATTTTCACGTCATAGTTCAGACGCGGGCGGGGCCTCGGGCCTGTTTTAGGCTTCTCCTCATTTTTTATATTTTAGACATCCATCAAATAATGATGAAAAAAATTGCCTCGCTGGTGGAAACAACATGAGGCCATGCTACCGCGACTGTCAAGAGCGGCTCGACGGTGTTTAGTGTCCCGCAGCAGCAGTATGTATCTATATACACATATATGCTGTAATATAATGTATTATATTATATTATATATTATAGTAGGCTATAGCCTATATGCTATAAAATAATTTAAATTTAGTCTCAGGAGCTCCACGAGAAAATGCATCTCTCTGATGAGAAAAATAACAGACAAATATAGGATCTGAATTAATAATTGGGTGACATTAAAAATAATTTCGTCCTCCTCCGGTCCATCTCCTGCTCTCTTTTTTAACTCTGCAATATATCTAGCGGAAGTAGCTCCCAACATTTCACTTTTAACCAGTGACTTGGCATTTATCAATGGCACCTAGAAAAACAGACAGGGCCTACTCCAGAATCATAATTAATGTTATGATAAATAAAAGTAATAAACAGGCCTCACTATCAGCGTATGAATTAACGCAGTACAGAAGACATGGTTGTTTGATCAATCAAATGAAAAGGGGCGTTTCAGCGCCGCCCACAAGCGAATGAAATATTTGAAGCCATAAACCGATTTGTAAACCACAAACAAAATAAGAGATGTCGAGACAAAATCTCATTTGAACGATCTTTCCATTTACCAACTTTCCATTTTTTTTGGTTCATACAGAAAAACGGAAAAACGTTTTTCGTTTGCCAGTTTGAATGGAATAGTTGAATGATCGGATGATACACCCAGATCACCAGTCTATGTCCTTGTCTTGTTTTCACTCGATTGATTATTTCATAATGTATTTTCCCTGTGACAAAACATTAAAATTGTTAAGGTAAAAATCATGACCTGTTATATTTGTCTTTGTGTATTTCTGTAATAACCTCAGTTTGGGTGATTTATAAAGTATGTAAGTAGCCTACATGTAGGCATGTAGCCGAATTTTATTTTGTTTAATTATTTTGTACCCTATAATTAGGGCAGAATTACTGTATTTATGGCGTTGATGCTGTGGGCGTCACTGTCTGTGCAAATGATTCGTTTATAATTATTGTTAGGCTTTTATTAGTAGGCTATATCATGTTTATTTGATTTTAAGGATAAGCTTAGTCTATAGCCTAAAAACCAAAATAGTACATTTTAGTAATAAAAATACACTTGGGCCTATATTATGATAGTAAGTAAACGTGTATGGGTTTTCCCGTAGGCCTATAAATCGCTATATTTAGGCTAACTAAATGCCTCACAGGCATTGTAAAAAAAAAGAAAGAAAGGGGATTAATAAAATAGGGGATGGAAAATATTATCGTATAAAAAGAGGAAAATCTCCCTCAAGACAAAAAAAAGAGGCGACCGAGAGTACAATTAGGCCTACACCATCTGGACACAAGAGGGCGCCATGTATCTATATTAGACCATAGCTATGAGAGAGACAGCGCCATAGGACATTCTTTCAGCTTCATATATTAAAATACTAAAAGAGACAAACAGGGTCAAATAAAAAGAAACCCCGTCATTTTCCTTAACGTATCAAGACTATACAAATGGCAATGCATTTCCTACTTTGTGGCAAATGGCTTTTTGTTTGATTGACTGGTAGTTTATTTGACGTCATAGATGAGGAATTTCTCTAGCATTGCTGTGCATTGTGAGGAGACTCAGAAGTCCCATCAGTGTGATCTGCATGTCAATAGCAGCTCTACTGGGGTCCGCCATTTATGGCAGGATTTGTTTGCACTGACACACTGAACCTATTTTAAATCCAGCTCTAGTCTGGCCAACACACTCTAGCTTTGAGAAAGTGCCTGCACAGACTTTTTGCTTTCGTTCAGTCAAAGCAATATTTGTTAAGATAAATAACAAAAAATTAAGGATCCTCCGAGGATTTGCTTAATCGTGACACTTTTTACTCCAGAAAATATTTCTCAGGCTCGGTTTGTTTTTGGAAGTCAGTTTTTGTGTAGACACATCTTAAACACTTGGTTACAAAAAAGCTATACAGCCCCTTTAACACATAATATGCCCCAATAGTGCTTACACTATATGGGACAAGTTGTCACAACAGAACCTGCCTATCTATTATAAGCTTTTATGCTAAATTTAAAGAGTCCAACAATTATGAAACACTTTGTTGTGACAATCAGCCCTGGCCTCCCCTATATTTAAATTATAATAATTTTCTTCTACAAAATAATCAA